TTTAAGACATCTTAGCGGTAAAAGGACCTTGAAACCACGATGACACGTTAAGGGGGTTTATAGCCTTTGTGAACTGGGACTTAACACTTCCCAAATCTAGGAGAAGCAGGCTATAAATTTTTAAACCCTAGCGGGGAAAAAACCCCCAAACAAACAGAAAAGGATTTCATAAGAACACACAAACTGTAAGGAAGAATGACAATATGCTTATAGCTAATTTAGCAATAATGACCTATTTTAAAACTAGAGGGCTGGTTTTAATTTTGTGAGCTGTTTGGGGAGGCGACACAAGTAATGAGCTATAGATTTGCCTTCTGGGCTTGGGCAGCATCAGGGCGCATGGAGAGGCCGTGGCTCCGGGTGAGGCCTGAGCGCTGGTCACACCAAGCTAGCAAGGCTCTCTCTCCACGTTCCTGCCTGCTCTGTTCCCGGGTCCTTGCTGCGTGACTCTGAGTACATCTCACTTTCTCTCAGCTTATCATCAGTGTGTTTTTCTGTGGGTCTTCTTCCCTCTCTGTCTCTATTTCTACCTCTTTGTTTTTCTCCTGTCTTTCTTTCTACTTCTCTCAGTCCCTGGTTTTGATCAAAACAATTTTTAACTGATCACAAAAGAGCTGAATAATAGGTCTTTATGTATGTTTTATTTATTAAACAGAATTTTGTGTTCTCTGCCTTATACAAAAGCAGGCAGGTGGGTGGAATGTTTTCTGTTCATCTGGAAAACAAATATATAGTGGGTTTTCATATATACGCTCCTTGATTGATTCCCACCATGGCTTCTCCCCAAAACCCAGAAATTGGGGACCAGAAGTAGAATAAAAGTCCCAGCCTAGAGCTCATAGCCTAAAGCAAGAGAGGACCTGTGGTTGTTGCCCGATATGTAGGTAAGGGCAAGAAGCATGATGGCAGGGAGCATGCAAAGGTCGGGGGGGGTGTGAAATCTGGGTGTATGGAATGGAGATCCCAGTTAGTAACCGCCCACTCACATGGCACCACTTTCCATGACAGTCTCTGCCACTTTCCAGCCCTTGCCTCGACCCTCCCTGAGTGAACTGCTCCCCCAGGACCTGAGCTCACCTGGTGTTGGACCCCTCCACACCTTTGCTCTTGCAGCTCCTTCTGTCTGGCACGCCTTGGCCACCCCAGACTCTGTTCACCTGGTCATCACCTGCTCATCCATTGAAGTTCTCCCTGATCCATGGAACCAGCTAGAACAGGCTCCTCCTTCATGCCCCACAGTGACCAGAGGTGGGGTCTCAGTCATCCTGGTTCCCTAGTGCCTGGCACAGTGCCTGGCACATTATAGGTATTCAATTAACACATGTTAGTAAAAGGAAGAGGGATCCCATACTAAAAGTATATCATCTTTTGTCTCCCACTTTAGCAGAAGGCTATCCAAGCAGTTAAACCCGGCCCTAGCTCTGAGGTTCCCTCCCAGGTCTGCTCTCCTGCCTGTAGGCCTGCCCCACATGGCCTGCACGCCCACAACCCACCCATTCTCCAAGGTTCCCTCCCCAATGCAGCCTTCTGATGCCCCACTCCTGTAGGAAGAAACCTGTCCTTCATATGAACAACCAGCTCCCTGGTCTGTTGTTACCTTACTTGGCCCTCTCTTGCGGCTGTTTCCACTCCCCCGTGTTGGGCACACACAAGACTTCCCCCCTAACCCACACAGTGAGCCAGCCCCCAGAGGGGGAAACCTTCACAACGACCAGATTAAATGAGTTAGTGAAGGCATCTCTGCCATCTCTTGGGAGGAGAAAAAGCCAGAAGCACCAGTCCTGCAGGGTGACGGGAAGGGGGTGGAGAATCAGGACCCAGCCTCCCAGCGCGGCAATGCGGTGCTGGGCGCAGGCGGTCACTCATCCCCAGCAACATGGGATCAAAACGTTACACTACCTTGTTGGCCAGTGGGTCTCTTGGTCCATCTTCGCCTTTCCCAACACTTAGCTCTGACTGCTTGCAATTAGTATCTGACAGGCAATCTAAAAGAGTCAAGCTGCATTAGGGAGAACCCCAGAAAAACTGGAGGGCACAGCTCATCTCGTGGAGAGCGGTTCAAATGGCAAAGGTTGATTCCTTCACCTACTCAGCTGGGCCTTACCAAGGAAATAAGATCAAGAAAGTGGTGTTCGTCTTTAGCATTTATTTATACTTGGAAAAAGAACTGTTTGTTTCTGAGCAAGCACAGACCACAAGCACGTCACAATCAATTGGCTATACATGAATATTTTTTGTCATTTTCTTACTCACAGCAGGAATGAAATAGCACCAAGAGAGGTGTGCGCTACACATTACATAGACAATCTGTGGTACGCAACAAAACCCAGGCCACAAAATCGTAATTAGACACTTCCTGTCTGCCTTGGAGAGGCAAAGGTAGAACGGACCGGTTGGAAGCACCAGCAGATAACAGAGAACTTTGGGGAGCCAACGCACAGCTTTAGGGATTATTTTTGCAGGCAAGCAAAGCAGACAATAGGAAAGCTTCAGGCCTTGCTCTCTTGCCAGGGGAGCTCAGGAATCGCTGGGAAATATACAAAAATGGACAGCCAGGCGTCGGAAGCTTGGTCATCTTCAGAAAGGCAAAACGGAAACACTGCTTGTGAAACCAAAATCAGTTTCAATCAGTACGTTTGGGATGCAGAATAAGACTGGCTGAGTTCTATTTGTAAACAGTAGAAATCAAAGGAAGTTTCTTGCCATGAAGTGACACATTCAAGAGTCAAAGTGAACTACAAATAAGAGTTTTCCCAGTCGCAGGATTAAAAAGACGGGGAGCCTGAAGGGTCGAAAAGACATTATATGGGTCACGTCTCAAGCTGCAGGTGGGGCAAAGGTTGGAAATTCAGTCCCTGGAGCTGCAAGGTGGGTGGGAAACTACAATCTGGGCGAACAAACTTGAATCAGACACGAGATCAAGTCGTATGTATCCTTCTGGTTGTGCTGCTGTGGAGACAGATGTGTGTAATACCCAGCACGTCTCGCACGGTGTCTGGCACACAGGCATTCAGCACGCGAATATGGAATGAACGTTCCCCTGTGCACCGTAAAGTTTGATTTACTTGATCTGCAAAACACATATGACTGTTCTATGGAGAAATCCAAATTGCGGCTAACATCAACACGCCTGACTAATGCCAGTCCGCAGGAGAACGAACATACATTGGCAAATTCTCTGGATAAAGTTAAGATCATGTTGATAGAGCTCTCTGGTTAATGTTAAGATTAGTGAGCAAATAGCTAGAATCAGTACTGAGGTCTGCTCTGGTCATTTCCAGACAGGCATCAAAACGTGTGATGCACGAACACTGAAACTCACTCATATTTTCTACCTTCTTCAAAAGTTCTTCTCAGTTCCACGCCCTGAGATAGAAAGGAAGAGGACGGTGGGCCTGGCCGAACGCCTCATTTCTAGGAGTCCTGTTCTCTTTAACAAATGTGGCCCACAAAGCACACGCTCAACGAGTTTGCAAAAGACTTCTCCATCAGCCCCAGGGTGACCAACAAAATGGCGCCAAAAGAGGCTTTGCTGCTTGAATGGTCAGAACAGGAGAGGACTGGGGGAAGCCCTGCTTCCTCCACACCACAGGGACCGCAAGGGAGCGCCGCGGTGAGGAGCCGGACGACAGCCCGGCCATGTCACGGTGCCAGCAACAGGAAGGACTTCAAGGACAGGGGCAACAAAGCATACCGAGCAATGTACACGTCACAAGGTTTGCAAATGTAATTTTTCCGGTGGGTATGTTGGGTTCCCTCATGAGCACTAGGGGTCTTTCTACAACTCTCTGACTACCACCTACAACACAACTCTAGCACAACTAAGGTGCCCCTTGCCGCTCCCGGGGGCGTTGGCCACACAGACACGTGAAACACAACACGGTGAGAGCTGCTTTTATTCATCAGTGAGGTCAAAAATGCTTGCTAATCACTTAGTAGGGAACTCTCCTAATCTTCAGCTAAGTCACAGACATTTCCACTAATCTGAAGCTCAGCACCCTCTGTCCTCTCTGAGGAACAGGGCAAACACAGTTCAGGAAGGGAGAATGAACATGGCCGTGCTTGGCACGGTGTCGACTTCCCACCTTGTGTTTCTCAGAAGCAAGGAAGCCACGTTCTCAATACACTACCCCTGCCCCCTGAGCTTCCCTCCTCAGTCATCTGTAACCAGTCGCTCTACAAAACTGGGTACACAGAGGAGAACAGTCTCCTCACGCTGTGTTCATCTTCCTATGACATCTAGAACGTACCTAAAACACCCTGGCCTGCTCTGAGTCATCAGCGGCATATTTATCACTTGGCATACAATTTCAAGCCCACTGATAGGAAACTAAATGCAGTCACTCGTTTCTAACGGAAAAGTCTATGAGAAAAATTACTTGAACTTAACAGACACAATCATCTTATGGACATTAAGGCCGAGGTTTTTTGCTTTTTAAGTATTTCCACAAATGCTGTCCATCGCTGAAGCCCAAAGGCGAGCGTCTCTAGCACATGATAACCCTCTGAATTTTGGAAAAGAACACATTCACCTAAAGTTCAGAACTGATCCCTGACACAGACCTCGGGGGAGAGGAGGAGGAGGGCACCCTACGGGCATTCCCAAGCGTGACTGGGAGACTTCCAGCCGCTGGGAAGGGCCTCTGCGTGCTAAGGCCTGCCTGCCTCCCTCGGCAGCCGGCGAGCAGTCTCACCTGCTGTGGGAGGCACAAGCAGGGAGCAATGCTTCCCGGGGTTCCTGGTGTTCCGGGGGCCCCGCGGCATGGACCCCTGCTCCGTGCTTAGCCCGGCCAGTCTCGATTTGGAGAGGAGGCATGCCGCTCGGGCTTGGAGACGGCATTCCTCCATCGGAAGAAACCAAACCAAAGAGCTCCTGGAACACTCAGGACCAAGGCAGATGAGAAACCTCTAAGCAATTTTGTGGCCTTTTTTGTTGGTTGGTTAAAAAAAAAAGAAAGAAGAAAGAAAGAAGAATAAAAGGAAAATGCAATGAGATTTACTCTTTAGCCTCAGCCAGTTTATTGTTCATCTCTTTACTTTGCTCCTTGTCTTCGGGTTGGGTGGCACTAGGGCCCTCTGCGCTCTTTTTCTTGGAGGCCTGGCCCGACGCCACCTGCTTGTCTTTGGCCTTCCTCGGGGGCTTATGGCTCGCTGAGGTCTTTTTTGGTTTGGAACTCTGAACGCTAGGTTTTTCCACCTGCTCGGAGAGACAGACAGACAGACAGACAGACCGCAAATACAGAAACACAAAAAGGGAGGGAGTGGGAGAGAGAAGTTAGAGAGAAGACATGATTAGCTCAACGGTAACTGTCATGATGACACTTGACATCGAGGAAGCACAGCGTCTAAAGTGTTTTCAGTGACACAGGTCATCTGGCTTCTGAACCGGCTGGTCCGCTGTGGCCACAGGCTCACAGGCCACAGTGGCATCCCGGCCTGGCGGCTGTCACCACGGAAGCACCGTGGTGGTGGATGATGTTACCGTTTTGCGATCCCTGCTGCCCCTCCCTGTGGGAGAATCGCATATACCGCATCCCTCATCACTCTGTTCAACTCGGGCAGGCCTCGGATTTGCTTTAGTCGATGAAATGTGAGGAGAAGGGCCAGGGGTCACCTCCAGCTCTACCCCCCCTCCCAGGAGATGGCCCAGCCTTCTCTTTCCCGAGAACTCTGGGGCCACTGTGTATGGCCCCTCAATATGCCATCTCTGGGTTCACTTTCCCCAAACTTCCCTCCTTCCTCCCCTTGAGTCTTCTTTTGTGCAAAGCCAGCACTATGTCCTGGGTCCCACCTTGTATGTGGAAGATGGGCAGAGATGCTGTTGGGCCTCACAGGCTAGGTCATTCATTCAGGGAGATCCAGGGGTTTTCAGTCACCTCTGACCTGTACATCCTGGTTTGCCCGGGCCTGAAGGCTTTCACGGAATGTGGAATTTTCAGTGCTCCAAGTGGAGGAGTCCAGTCAAGCTGGCTTGGTTACCTACTTCACCTACAAATCAGTCTTGGGCCAAATAGGAAACTCGACTTCAGTGTAAGACTTACAGACAGAAGCAGAGGAAAGGATCTCACACTTTTCCTACTCTTGTAGATAAGAGTGGATATTTGCACAATCCCATGTGGCTTGACTTCACAGAATCAGCTTTGGCATTTATGATTGCTGCTTCCAGCTGAGTCTCCAACTCCATTCTCCCCCTCATTCCCTCATGAGTGTGTACTGGGATACAAATAAGGCAAAGTAGTGTTATTATATGGAAATCCCTGAATCCACTGGAAGTTACTTAGAAATGTACATCATTCACAAACTGTCTATTAGAGTAACAAATTACCCGGAACACATCTTGCAGCTGGTGAGACAGGTGCTCTGTGACAGACTAAGAGCTGATGGTGCATAGTGTTTACAGACGAAAAGGATAAAAAGGAGTAAAGAAGTGTCCACGGATTGGAGCCAAGGATGCTGCAGGGGCAGGGTGAGGAGAAAGCCAGCGAGATACCTTCAATGGCCAACACTTCAGGGGCAAAAGCCATTGTTTTAAGAAGGGGTACTGAGAGCTCAGGTGAGGTTTTCTGCAAATTTTTTTGGGGGGTTCTCTAAATCAGAAAAGCTAGTTCTCTGAAAACCTGCCAGTCTTCAAGCTGTTTTATTTTAGGCACTGTTTCTTTTTAACATTCCCTTTGCATTTAGCCTCTGGGCTACCAAGAAGAGGAGGAATTTCCCAGGAGCCACCTGGGCCAGGTGGGCAGGAGCCCCGCGCTCACACTTTGCTGCAGTTAACCCCCTGGTTCTAGGTTGTGCTGAGGGGTTCCCCACAAGATCTGTCTCACCTTTGGGGATTCCTTGAAAGGTTCGCTGTAGAGGCTGCGTATTCTTCTGCGATCAATGACCTTATTGTCCGCGGGTGTTGGCTTGTTGGCCTCCCCTTTGAACTGGGCACTGTAGCTGGTCTCATGAGCCATCTTATCATCTGGGGGCTTGTACTGGGGCCTGGCTTTTATCGGTTTCACAGGCTTGATGTCCGTCCACGCTCTGAATTCATTTCTGTGAATCAAAGAAAGCATAGGTTATATGAAACACGATCTGCGGGGACGCAGGGCTCCTCGTACAGGGCTGCCAACTCAGCGAGCTCGCAGTCGGTGCCGGTGCTGCTGACGGAGGGGTGGTTGAGCAGTGAACTGCCCTGTCTCCTCATGGGGAAGCGCGAGGTTTCCTTCCTGCCACCTTGACGTAGGCTGTGGCAATAGCTCTTGTAGGACGAAGAAGCTCAGGCTCCCAGCTACCACTGTGTGATCATGGAGAGGCAATTCTAATCTTTGGGCCTCGTTTTTGCAATATCTCAAATGAGGCTGAAAACACTCAATCCACTCCATCATGCACGGGTTCAACCTCTATGATTGAATGTCTGCCGCGTGTGAGGTCAAGAGTGTGAAAATGAGACGTGTTAGACGGTGTGCTTGGTATGCCGTGGCCAAAAATGCCAGTCCCCTCCCCTGCCTTGTAATGATGGAGACCCTTCGTTAGCCAGAATCCTCAAGGATAGTTCCTCCCCTTGATAGCAAAGGCTTGCTTCTTATATTGTCAGAAATTTAACAATCTTAATCACTGTAGATGAAAATACTCATGAGACGTCTAAATGCTTGCATATCACAAATAAGCAAAATGTACCAAACATAATGTGGATGCCACTGTTAGGACTGATGTCGCACTGAGTATGTGCAGGAGAATCTTCACATGCTCTGGTGTGAATGGTTATTGGTCCTGACGCTATAATGACCACCATCTGCTGCTTTTTTCTGAGTCAGTGTGTACGTGTTCTTATCTTTCCTGTTAGGATCTTGTGGATTCCAATTAGCTGTTTCTGATCTGTTACAGGGCTGGAGACTAGATGGGGACAAGGTCCAAAGCAGGGTAAAGTACATGTGCCTGCTTACAGAGGCCACAGGGTCCATCCTGCTTATTGAGTGCATGATGTTCGATGGATCTGTTCTCATTTGGGGCATGAGAAGCTGTGTTGTGGGAAAGGAAGAGTTAGGGTGTAAATATCTGTGGTTAGGTTCTTCCAGCACCCTCGTCACCCTCATTGATAACGCCCTCCTTCGGGGCTCAGAGACGAGTGGCCCAAACAGGAGGCCACAGGGGGACGGCAGAAGGAGCTGAGGCTGTGAGAGTCACGAGGTCCTAGCCCCGCCTCTAACAAGATGTGGAGCAGGCCTCTCCTCTCTCTGAGCCTTGGTTTCCACACCTGTCAAAAAAAGACCAGACGATGTCCTTATCCTTCCTTCTAGCTCAGAGATTCTCTGAGTTGATAAAGCTGGTTGGTTAACACTGAGCCACTTGCTGGTCATTTGACCTCCTGAGGGGAATTGGCTGATTTGTGAGCAGAGAGACCACAGTTTCTTAAGAGACCCTCCCCCAAGCTTCAGACTTGCCTTTCCAGTGCAGCCTGGACCCCCACCTGAGGGCCCCACCAACTCAAACCCAACATCCCTAGAACCAAAGCATCTTGTCTGCCCTGCCAAATTGTCTTCATTCCCTCATCATTCAATTTCTTTCTCTCATTCATTCATTCGCAACACATTTACTGAGTGCTTAATGTCTGTCTGGCAGGATGCTGAGCTCTGTGGAGCCCAAAGTGACTAAGAAGAGGCCCTGGGCTCAAGGTGTGGGAGGCAGAGGGATTGCAGTTACTCCAGGACAGTAAGAACAGAGCCATGACAGAGGGGGGAGTGGGGAACACAGCCTATACCAGCCTGGGAGCGAGTCGGGGATGTGGGTTCTGGAGTGGAGTCAGAGACAGGACGGGGAGCTGGCCAGGGCTGCAGGCAGAATGAGGGGTACACTAAGAGGCTGCCGAGACATGACCCTCTGCAGGCAGTTCAGGTGGTTGGGTTGAAGCTTGTGGGGACTGGGCAGATCCTGAGGTCCTGCCAGCCATGCTGAGGGGATGGTCTGGACTGTAACGAGGAGCTGCCAAATGGTTCCAAGCCAAGGATGAATGTGACCAGATTAGTTTGCGGAGAGAGAACTTCGGCAGCAGTGTGAATGGCGCGCAGACGGGGCGAGGTGAGTCGGGAGGCCAGGCAGGAGACTGTGCAGTGAGCCCGGAGGAAAGCAGAGGCCTGAGCCAGGACAGTGGCAGTGGGGACCGAGAGTGGCTGAGTCAAAAGGGAAGTGGGCAGGACTTGAGAGCGGCTGAGCCGTGGGAGGCCAGGGTCAGAGGGGAATCTGGAGAGTTCCAGGATTCTGGTTTGTGGGTGGCAGTGCTCCCCACTGAGACGGAGAACCTGGGAGGAGAAGGGGACTTGGAGGGTTGAGACCCTCCTGATTCCGTTAATGGCACCCATCTGCTCTGGCCTCAAGGCTGTGTTATATCGTTTCCTGTGCTCTCTTCCCCGCTTTTACACTTCCAGGGGTTCAACCAGCTACTGTGACCTGACTTCTGAGCCATTTTGGGCTGGCCTGGGTCACACTGGGGGCTGTGGCCACCATGACCCGTCTAAGACTCCAGGTACCCACTCCCTCCTCCCACCCTTCAGGACCAGAGTATTGCTGAAGCCCCTTATATGTGGATTACCAGCAACAACCTGGTTCCTGAATATAGAACCCTGAGTCCTCTGCTCCTACCCCTGCCTGCTTCCAGAATTAGGACCGACATAGGTCTACACCGGTCCTAAGAACTGTTTCTGGATCATCTCTCCCACGCCAACCTCTGCATCTTTCTGCATCTCTGTCCTGGCCTCTGCGGGCTGGCAAGTGTCTCACGGTGAGCATTATCCATGGGACGTGTCCTCGTGGGAGCAGTTTGGTGACCCCTGATCTTAAACAACTGATCTTCATATGAGGCCACGTTAGTGAGTCCCATGATTCAGTTCACTGCAATTATGACAGACAGTTCGGTTGAAACCCAAATTCTGCTACTTAGAACTTTCTTTGAACTCTCCACAAAACCTTCCCCAGCCACAAGCCATAACTAATCATATGTCACAAAAATAGAATTAGCTACCGTTCATTAGTCCCCTTTTACAAGCTGGAGGGTTGTTTTGGTTTTGCTTTGGTCTATTCTCCATAATCCTTACAACAACTTTGAAAGGAGGTAGTATTATATCTCTCTTGCAAGAGAAGGTAAGCCAGGCTCAGAGAGGTTAGGTGGCTTGCCTAAGGCCAAACAGCTGGCAAAGAAGCAGGGTTGAACTACGAGTCCGGGCCCGGGAGGCCCACATCCTTCCCACCGCACTTTCCCAACGTGCCGGCACTGCAGTGTGCTGGCCTGTTCTCACCGGAGGTGCCCGTGCGGGCTCAGGCCTGCTGTGCGCAGTGCCGTGGCTGGTTTAGGTGACACGGCTGCACGAGATGACCCCTGAGCTCCTCCAGCCCCGAGATGCTCCTCCCAGAGTAGCGTGGGCCACGCTCTCAGCTCACTCACGTCTCGCCTGTTACCACGGACTCCCCTGTCCGTGCAGCCGGATTTTGGCTCTATCGTTCATTCCTTTATTCATTTGGCATTTACCAAACACCAGCCATGGGCGGGGCATGTGGCCCACAGGGCGTGTGACCCAATGGCTGAGGCGGCTACAGTTTAGTAGGTTAGGATCTGTTCTAGTGTGTGACCCTAAGCAAATGGGACAGAGGGACAGAGGGAAAAGGATGCTTAATTCTGAAGGGGGCACTAGAGGATGGAGACAGAGAAGTGAACAAAGGGAATTCAGGCAGCGTTCTGAGTCCGTGGGGCAGGTTCAGAGAGCAGGTGAGCTGCTCAGGGTGTGGAGGGTGGGGCTCTTGGAAGGAAGTCAAGGCGACCGGGCTGGGTGGGAGCTGGGGCCAGGCTTACAGGGCCTCGAATGCCATGTTTACATGCTTGCGGTTGGCCTGGGGAGCTGCTGAACGTTTCTGAGTGACAATGCCCCAGTTTTAATTATTTCAGACTGCCCCAGTTTTAATTATTCTTCAAGGCCCAGCTCGGGGCTCTCCTCTTCCAGGGCCCCCTCCTGGATTTCCTCTCTCTTGGCTCCTGGATGCTGCTACCTTGTCCAACTTTGTGGTGCCCCATGCAGTTTCATGTCACTCTTTAATTATTTTATAAGTTCATTTTACCTCTCCTGAGGGATGAGATACAGAACAGAAAATTCATGACAGAACCCTACTTTTTGAGTCCAACCTCATCTGCAGGGCTGTGAAGGGTTATCCTTTAACTTATCCTGTGTCAAACTGCAGGTAAGGGGCAGAGCTGGGTGAGGACCCCACCTGTCTCCACCTGCCCCGTCAGGCCCCGACCCTCACCCAGGCCCCCACTCAGAGCCATGTTCCATATCTTTCTCACATTCTTCACAGGATTTAAGGGCTTGGCATTGAGTGCATATTTCATGGAAGTAGGTATTATTTGATCTCCTTTCTGGTCAGCTCATGGCCCCCCGCCTATACTTGCACTCTGGTGCCAGTCGCGCTGAACCGAGTATGTGCTCGCAAGCGCCTGGCCTGGGAGGGGTCCCTCTTCATCGGGGAGAGAGCTGCATTTATCTGTGTTTCCCCGGTGCCCTGCACAGCACAGAGCGATACACTTAGGACACTCTGGGAGAATTAAAGGAAACCAAGCCTTCCATCCTACTTTAGGTACTCACAAGGCTGCTCGCGCTTGGGGCTTCTGTTATCACACACCCCAGGTCTTTAAGTCCTTGTAGGGAAGAGTTGCCCTTCATAAAGCAAGCATCTGGTGTCTCCCAAGCTTTCATAAAATCCATCCTCCCTAGATTGACAGGAGGCAGCCCAGAGCCCCGGGTGAGTGAAGCCGCCACGGTGGTAAAGGGCTGGGGGCAAGAAGGAACCCCTGAGAATCAGGGGACAGGGAAGGAAAGGAAAAGTTTGCTAACACTTCCCAGTGCCCACTTCCTTTAGGCTGAGCTCTCTATGAATCTAGCCTTAGTTTACCCTTTCATCATCCCTGTGAGGACACTGTTATTAGCCCCATGTTATATATGAGGAACCTGACTACAGACAGGTGAAGAGACTCACCAAGCCAGTAAGCAGTTATTGGACCGTGAGTCTAT